ATAAATAAATAAATAAATAAATAAAATATTTTTTAAAAATAGACTTATCTATGGAATTTTAACCATAAATGTCTTTTTACACTCAGTGGTATTACTTTTTTAATGAGAAACACCATCATGCAGAAACACAAAAATTTTCATACCGTTGTTTCTCAGATATGTTCATATGTGGTGAGCACTATTGCTAGATTTTTTTTTTTTTTTTTAAAGATTCTATTTAGGGCTCCTGGGTGGCTCAGTTGGTTAAGCGACTGCCTTCGGCTCAGGTCATGATCCTGGAGTCCCAGGATCGAGTCCCGCATTGGGCTCCCTGCTCAGCAGGGAGTCTGCTTCTCCCCCTGGTCCTCCCCCCTCTCATGCTCTATCTCATTCTCTCTCTCAAATACATAAATAAAATCTTTAAAAAAAAAAAAGGTTCTATTTATTTGAGAAAGAGAAAGAGTACAAGCAGCGGGGGAGAGGCACAGAGAGAGGGAGAATGAGCAGACTCCCTGCTGAGCAGGGAGCCCGACGAAGGACTCGATCCCAGGACCCTTTAATCATGACCTGAGCCGAAGGCAGATAGATGCTTAACTGACTGAGCCACCCAGGCACCCTCTATTGCTAGATTATTATGACATGATGATATATTTAATTCCAGTATTCAAACTAATAATTTTTCCAGTATATGACAATATCATATGCTTCTAACACATAGTATGACCACTAACTCTTATTTCCAAAACAAGTAAAAACAGTCTCTAAATTAAGTATAATAGGCTACCCTCCCACTTTTCCATTGTATTTGCCATACTCATTTGTTTAAATAAGCTATAAGATAAAGCAAAAATTTAATAAAAATTATTACAGCAAGGTTAAGATTAAGAAGATTCTATCTACTAGTTTACTTTTTCTTTAAAAATAGTGAAAAAATTGGGGCGCCTGAGTGGCTCAGACGGTTAAGCGTCTGCCTTCAGCTTGGGTCATGATCTCAGGGGTCCTGGGATCGAGCCCCACGTCTGGCTCCTGGCTCAGTGGGGAGCCTGCTTCTCCCTCTGCCTCTCCCCCTGCTCGTGCTCTCTCTCTCTCTCTGTATCTCTGTGTCTCGAATGAATAAATAAAATCTTTAAAAAAAAAAAAAAGTGAAAAAATTATTCAATTTTAATAACAAAACACCTAAATCTACCATGAAAAACACTAGTGTTCTGCATGAGTGTGATTTGAAACTACTGGTTCAGACTATTCTAAGTTAAACTACATTTTCAACTTTCAGTTAGACACTGTATCCAGGTGCGTGTTTGCTCAGTTCCTAGCTATGTTAGAGGCTTTTTTAAACAATAAAGCATAAATTGGAAAAACAAGATCCGGGGAGGGTGGAATCAAAACAATAAAACAAATCCTAGCCCAGATTAAACTTAATTGAATGGTAAATATTTTTATTCTCTTTTCCACTCATTAGCTCAGAAATACCTGGTTTGGCTGACCAGTTAAAATGCCAAAAATATAATCCCCCTTTTGTAGAAAGCCTGGCCAAGTAATGGGAAAGACCCAGTTTTCTTAGAATAAATAATCACTGTATCCATTTTTCTAAACCTATATCCAGAAAAACAAATAAAATTAAGGGTAAAAATTTTAAATAGCAATTGTCTGCTGCTTTCCCTCCTACCAAAACAACTATTAACATACAGTATGAAAGAGCAATGCTCTGATTAATTATGTACCACTTTCCTCCTAACCTCACTATGCCCCCATCCACTTGCCGACTTGCAGTTCCTCAATTTATGCCTTTTTCCTTGCCCCAGAGTTTTCACACATATAGCCCCACTTCCCTCTCCCAGATGGCTCTTCTTCTCACTCTTTGTCAGGTTTGCGGGACCTACCCGTAAAGTCTGAGTTTAGGGGCACCAGGGTGGCTCAGGTCATGATCCCAGGTCGGGCTCCCTGTTCAGCGGAAGCCTGCTTCTCCCTCTCCCCACTCCCCCTTGTGTTCCTTCTCTCGATGTGTCTCTCTGTCAAATAAATAAATAAATAAAATCTTTAGGGAAAAAAAAAAAGGTCTGTGTTTAAATGCCATTTCTTCAGGGAGGTCCTCATTTTACATTTCTTTTTACTATCCCGTAGTTTTTCTTCGTAGCACTTACCACAATTTGTAATTATACCCACACAAACATATACCTAAAGTCTCTTACTTTCTAGACTGTAATCAAAAGCTCTCTGTTTTATCCAACATCTGGAACAGTGCCTGGCACAGTTGGCCCTAACACTCACCTTTTTTTTAAATATTTGAATTAATACATAAATATTTTGTAAATTTGACTTACATGAACAGACAAGCAACAACAATGAGATTCCATAGGACTTTATCATTTTGTGCCAAGCTGCTGTACCTCCCTTCTCCCTATTGCAACTTAACACCCCCTTAAATCCTTACTAGTCATGTGGTACTCCTACCGGGGCAAGAATCATTATTCAGCTGGATGACTAATCATGACCTCATTCAGATTCCGACTTCTACAAAATTGTCAACTGCCAGTCAACTTTCTATAGCAGCCTTCGGTGTCCCTCCCAGAGCACCCAGAGTGTTCTTTAAAACCATAGATCATGCTGGGATGAGCACTGGGTTAGTTATACTTAACTAATGAATCAGTGAACACTACATCAAAAACTAATGACATACTATACAGTGGCTAACTGAACATAATAAGAAAAATAAAAAAGTAAAACCATAGATCACATGTTCAAGTACATTGTCATCACCATATTTTCAGTATTTTCAAATTGTAGAAGGCTACTGTCATCATCCAGAAGCTCATACAAAAGTGATGAGCTCATTATTTTAGTCATGTGGTACTTCTACCAGGCCATCCTTCAGTATGTCCTGCCTTGAGGTGTGACTGACAGACTGAGGTTCTCTTTCTGGCTACAGTAGATTTTATTATTTTTTTTTAAAGATTTTATTTATTTGTTTGACAGAGACATAGCGAGAAAGGGAACACAAGCAGGGGGACTGGGAGAAGGAGAAGCAGGCTTTCCGGGGAGCAGGGAGCCCGTTGTGGGGCTCGATCCCAGGACTCTATGATCACGACCTGAGCTGAAGGCAGACGCCCAACGACTGAGCCACCCAGGCACCCCTGGCTACAGTAGATTTTAAATGAAAAAGATATGAAAGATTCTAGGATAGGCGGGGCAAAAAGAAAGGAAACTACCATTTACTGAGCACATATGAGCCAAATACTGTACAAACATATATTCTTGTTCAGTCCTCACAACAACCCTGTGAGGTAGGTAGGTATTATCCCCACTTTACACCTGAGGAACCAGTCTTCTGACAATGCAGATTGTCTCCTGAATTTTTCTGTTGACATTAACTTCCATTTATTTACTTTTATCCTATTGTAGAGATTTGGCAGCTGTATACTAGAAAATCCTACTTTACTCAATAAATATTAATTTAATGAAATAAAGTTTCACAGTACATCAACGAATGATTGAATCAGAAGCTACCATCCTTCTGTCTCAGATTACATCCTTTTCTAACCCTTTTAAAGACCTTCTGGACTACTAAGCATTCTTGCTTGGCTTTCACATTTCCTACTTATTAAATACACACATAGTACATAGTACATTGAACTACACAGGGATTAAGTGTGCCGAACCCTGCACAGTCAGAAATCTGCGTATAGGGCGCCTGGGTGGCTCAGATGGTTAAGCGTCTGCCTTCAGCTCAGGTCATGATCCCAGGGTCCTGGGATCGAGTCCCGCATCGGGCTCCCTGCTCGGCGGGGAGCCTGCTTCTCCCTCTGACCCTCCCCACTCTCATGTGCTCTCTCTCTCGTTCTCTCTGTCTCAAATAAATAAAAAAAAAGAAAAAAAAAGAAATCTGCATATGACTTTGACTCCCCCAAAACTTAACTAGTAATAGCCACTGTTGACCAGAAGCCTTACCAAAAATATAAACAGTCAACACATATTTTGTATGTTCTATGTATTACATTCTGTATTCTTACAGTAAATTAAGCTAGAGAAAAAAATCATAAGGAAGAGAAAATACATTTACAGGCCTGCACTGCATTTATCAAGAAAAAAACTCCATGTATAAGTGGACCCACATAGTTCAAACCTATGTTGTTCAAGGGTCAACTGTATATTCATCACAGCCTAATGGGCTCTCTAGGCTCAGTCTCCCTAGTTTTATGGGGACCAGGAAGCTAGTCTGATGAACAATAGCTGTTGAATGTTCTTAATCGTGAAAGGACCTCTCCAGCTTCTAGTTAAAAGTAGTTCCAGCCAAGTTCACTTGTCTCATAATTAGATAAGAAGAGACTATCTACCTCTTATCTATACCCAAAAGGAAACTCTGAAGTTTTCCTACATGGTCCTCCTCCAGTCCTGCATGAACGGACCAGGACTGAAGAACTTTATCTCCTTCCTCCACCTTCTCTTTGAAGGATGACCTTGGTCCACGTCTGTACTCCTGAGCAAATAGAACCTTTTGATTTTCTTTCTCATCAACTTCTTTTTCGGCTCCTTATTCCATCAGTTGACTCCCAACTTCTCTGGACTCTATAATCTAGATGAAAGCATGCTTCAAGAGGAAACCAGTCTGTGGTGGGAGGACCAGCTTGTTTGTGCAATGCCAGACAAACGTGGATTTCTAAGATTTTCTTTGCAATGGTACTATCCACCACATCTACTGTGGGTCTTCGGGATTGGGACAGCAGAAATGAAACTATACTTCTCAGTCTCCAGGGTATATGGAGTGTAGAGCCTCATCTGGCATCATTTTGGGTATCTAGGGAAATGTGTAGGGGAATATCCTATTTGTCCCTTTATGTCCCACTAGAAAGCTATTCTCCGTTCTCGGAGGAATCCATTCCAATAGTATATGATCACTCATAAATGTTTCTTTCCCCAAGATCTTCATAGGATGCTGTAGCTGTAGGAGAGGCTGTCCATGCTGATACCTGCCACGGCTGCATACAGTTCAGGCACCACCAACTCGGGTACTTGCAACACAGCTTTGTCATTTGCAGTTCGAGCGGCGATTTCTAGGCGTGAGTGTAGCTCTTTAAGTGAGGGGCGGCTCTCCTCACTCCAGCGCCAGCAGGACTTCATAAGACCATACCTGAGAGGGAAACAAGAGAAACTGACTTCCTTGACAAGGCAAATGTTTGAGGAACGTTGTCTCTTCTCCTAACACACCTTAACAACAACAACAATAAAAAAACCCGCAGTCATTCATCTACTTCTCACTGTCCTCTCCTGTTTTTCCAGAGAATAATATTCCTTCTTATCCTCTTAGTATTAAATCACTTAATATCGTCTTCTCATCAGGGCCCTTTTTATAAGAAGAACGACTGAAGATTTCTCAAACTAGAATCAGTATGACAGAACAAGTTTTTCTTTCTATTGCCCAAAACTCTCAGAAGTTAAGTGTTCTCATCCTTTAGATGTTACTAACTTGTAGCATTCCCCACCATTGCTATAAGGTATCTCCCAGTAAAAGCTACCTCGCAGCCAACAAAATAAGAAGTTATGGAATAATATGATTCACACTAATTTTGAATAATCTAATTAATTAGATGTTTCCTTTCATTAATCCAGGTCATTGCCCTCTTTTATTATTTAGCTTCTCCAAGAAATTGCCTTAATCTAGACAAAAGTACTCACCACCTTTAAGCTGTCTTTTCTTCAATCCAGTTTACAAAGAATTAATAATGTAGTCTGTTATCGAACACTTCTTGTCATGTCTCATCCCTCTCAAGAACCTACAGTGGTTTCCCACAGTCTGCCATGTAAAACCGACATCCTACCTGCTAGCTTCTCTGCCTCAGAGACCTTGCCTAACTGAACCCCTCTCCTCCAGCCAAGTCAATGTCTTGCTATGCCTCTGATGTGGTTGTTAACACCCAACTCTGTCTTTGCTCGTGCTATGCCCGATTCCTTGAGCATCCTCTCGATGGTCGTCATGTCCTGCGGGCTTGTTTTAGATCTCAATCCTTCTATGCAGCCTTCCCTTATAAGCCTCAGCCCACGCTGAGTCTCCCACACTCTTTACTATTGTACAGTGAGACTGTGTAAAAGATGCTAATTTAATAACCCTGATAACATGTAGCAAGAACTTACTTGTTTTATAAGGCATGGTAGTGGAACTTAACATGCATTATTTTATTTTAGCCTCACAATAACGTAGAGGTATGATTATCATTATACCTATTTTCAGGTAAGTAAACAATGTTCAGTAAAGTAACAGGACTAGGAGTGGACATGTGTTTTTTTGACCCTGTGATGTGAGTCTGAGCTTTTAATCCTTCTTTTATGTTGCCTCCCACTTTAAGTTGATTTTCAGGTTGTTTTAGATATCTCCTCACCCAAATATTAAATTCTTCAAGATTGTATACTTTATTGGTTAAGTGTCTCCCCTCCCCCAAAATAAAGGACAGATTTTTACACATAGAAAAAGCCTATAAGAAATATTTTTCAACAGTCATTCCAGTATACCCAGGCAGTATTATTATATTATATACATGCATGTGTGTGAGTGTGTATATATATAAATGTATATAGTTATGATATTTAACATTTATAATCTGCTTGATACAGTAACTTTATTGGTGGGGAACTAGGGTGATGGAAATTTACCCTTTTAATGCTGAAAAATTTATAAAATAGCAATAATTTTTTTTTATTCTTATGTTAATCCCCATACATTAAAATAGCAATAATTTTATCAGAAATTTATATTAATATATTCTCCCCTGACTTCTTATAAATATTTTAACCTTTTCTTATATTCTATAACAATCCCTTTTTGTAATTTATAGGTTATAAAATTCTGTGTATAATTTTTAATTTTTCCATTTTCTGCCTCTGCACTGGCTCATCAGCTGTCCCCTTCTGCTGACATTATTGGATACTCCTTCTCCTATCTTTCTAATTTCTTTCTACCCCCTTCTGGTTGGCTTCTAATTTGCTCAGACCTGGAAAAATAGTCAATATTTTTTAAAAGTTAAGTACTAAATAAGAGCCAGTGAGTAACTCTAGAGCAATGGAGGGACGCCTGGGTGGCTCAGTCAGTTAAACATCTGCCTTCGGCTCAGGTCAAGATCCCAGAGTCCTGGGATCGAGTCCCACGTCGGGCTTTCTGCTCAGCGGAGAGCCTGCTTCTCCCTCTGCCTGCCACTCCCCATGCTTGTGCTCTCTCTCTCTGACAGATAAATAAAATCTTAAAAAAAAAAAACTCTAGAGCAATGGATTTTTATGGCAGCGATATTAGAACTGAGGCTGGTAGTCTCTGACTGATACTGACATTTAGACAAGCAAAACACTACTGTATTTACATTGGATTTGGTCCACTTCCTACCTATTTTAGAAGCTTCTGGAAGAACTAAATTTTATCAACTTAGATTCCTAATACAGTTTTCAGTTGTTGCCTCAACACTGAGTGTTTTTGTGTGTATACACACACATATACATACATACATATATAAGTATATATGATATATGAGCAGATGTATTTTATTGCATAGGTGTGTCTAAGGCTGTGTATTAGCATATAAAGGACAGCTAGGGATTATCTGAGCCACTTTAAAAGGGCACGGTTGATGGGGATCAAAAAGAGGTTGCAATGAGAGAAGAGTAGACCCTAAAAACCACTTACATGGTATGTGTGCAGCTACTGGGTCTCTTCATTATTTTCCTTCTTTGGAGATGTTGTAGGATGCTGGTAGGAGGGACTTCAGGATATGGTGGTGCCCCTGTTGGCATGAAAAAAATGAGAGTAGCAAGGGAATATTAGGTCCTCTAGAATATGAACTATAACATGACTCTACATCCACCTGGGCTAACTGCCTGCAAAAGGTAGAGCCAAAGGAAAAATGCTAGATACAATATAGTTGCTCCCTGGTGATCAAGTAAGAATATAGCTTAGAGAGTTTTGGAGTAAAAAAAAAAGGTGTTTGGGAGGAAAAAAACTGATAATTTAGGAAAATGTTGAGTTTTTACAAAAGTAACAGAGCAAAGTGAGAAATGAGACCTGCCCTCCACTCCCCAAACATGGGAAAGTACTGTATTTTCGCTATCAGATAGGTTTATAAATCTAAGGACAACATATTTATGTTTATACAAAATCATTCTTGGAATTATTCTTTGGATTTTAAAACCTCTTTTGGAATTAGTAAAGCGTTGAGGGGAAAAAAAGAAAAAGAAAGCAAAAAAAAAAAAGTTAAAAGGAGGAGAGGGATTTCATATCAGCCCAGTTCAAACCTCAGAGATCATACTGAAACCTCTTCCCATAGCATATGCCATCTCCCGCCCAAATAAACATACTTGTATATTTGCATACAGTTACTACCTTAGGGACCCTCCTTACCTAGAGTCACCATCTCATAAAGCAGGATCCCAAAGGACCAGCTGTGAAAGAAACAAAGCCATTTACTTAATTTATATTTCTGCCTTTCCTAAAGAGAGCTCACTTAAACTATCAGGGGCCTTCAGTAAGAACCCTATAAAGGCAATGAAGGGGAATTAAAGGTGTCTCATAACATAAGCAAAGTAATTAGAAAGCATTAGAAAGCATTTCTGTTCAATCCCCTTCAAGTCTAATCTCTTTGCAGACTGGATTTATGTCTCCTTTCTTCTATATTTCACATTAATAGATGTTTACTATCATTTGCTGAATTGTGTGTATGTGTGTTTATGGAAACACACAAACACATCTACCCAAACATAAAGAAATTACCTTCCACATCTTTTTCATCCTTTCCATTCATTCCTGCCGAAATTCTAGCCTTTAGTAACTTAGCACAAGTCTCAGGGAGGTTTATCATTTATCTACTATTTCCTCAATAGATCTAACTGCCCAAACCTAGGAAAAATGTTAACAAAACAAGCTTTACATATAATGAGAATAGATATTTGCCACAGCAATATGATTTAAGACATGTTAATTTCACTATTCTATAAACCACATTAAACGAGCAGTATTTCCCAGTTAAGCTTATTACTCCCAGACCTCTACTGAAAAGCAGATGTCAGTGAGGCAGCAATGGAAATCTCTTAATTGACTCACCGTATTAACTGATGTTCTAAATTTCCTCTGCTGCTCATGACATTAATACTAGTAAGATATTATATGTTACATCTATGTGCTTCGCCAAGCTGCTGAATTATATGGTTACCGAAAGTCAATTGTGATTCTTTCCAGTACTGTTTATACCATCAGATGCATCAATGCAATTATGTAATCAATTAAATATAAATGCAAAAAAGTATTAGCTCCTGAAAACTAGGTTGAATGCTTTGAAAGTATTCTATAAAGATACACTGCTAAAAAGAAAGTGTTGTCAAATTGTGTGGGTGAGCCCAACAGTAGGAAATTGGAAAAAATAATAATAAACATCTGCAGTCAAATTGCTTCACCATTTTTTTTCAGATTTCTCACTCAAAATCATCCCAAGCTGAAACTCAAAAATAATGTGTTATGGATGCTATTTATACAAGAAATACAGTGTATAACTTCATTTAGCAGGTCAGTCCTCATAAAAAAGGCTTTGGCCCTCCCCCAAAAGATCAATCAATAAATGTACATTTATATGTTTTAAGTCAAAGTAAATTATTCAAAGTATGTATATTTCTTTTTATTCTAATAATTCCTGGTTTAACTGAACTTTTGATTAAGTGGACCCACCTCCTTCAGATAAAAAGGAATCTACTAGATTAAGTCCTTGGATATTGGTATGAATAATCTTTTCACTTTTCTCTTTTCTGATTAAGGCTGCTAATCTAATACAGAAGGAATACTTTAAAAGGCACTAAAAAGGATTGCAGCCAGATGTCAAATATGAGCTCTGTCACAAAACACACATTTCTCCTGGAGAGTCTGTCTGACTTCTAAGTAGAGATTTCACATGTAGACATAATTGACAACAGATACAGTCATGGTCAGGAACTGGGGGACATCTAGGTCAAGAAGGGAAGAAGTCCAAAGGGCAGGAACAAACCGTACATGTCTCCTCTGATGCTAGCTTGTCTCAGCAGAAGCCGTTCTGGGGCGAGCCACTTGAGAGGTACGTTGTGAGTAGCCGGGATGGCCCCTCGGGCATGGACTTCGTAAGCTAGGCCCAGTCCACAGAGCTTAGCAGTAAGATCACTTTGGATCAGGATATTCCTAGCTGCCACATCCCCATGGAACAGATGCTTATCCTGGAGAAATTCCTGTAAGCACAAGATCAAAGATGGATCAGCTGTCTGAGTTCATGGCTCGAGTCACAGACAAAAAGAAGCAGTCCTAGGAATCCTCAAAAAGACAAGGACATTTTCAACTCTGAACAAGTCTCATTGATAATGACATATCACTTCCAAGTCACCATAATGAATCAGACATTTTTGCATTATGTTTAGGATTACCAAACTGAGCAAATAATCCAAACAGCATTAATAGTGGGTTTGGAAAGTATGATCACCCACTCTGTGTCAAGCTCTGACCCCTGCCTGAATTTACATTTCTCTCAGATAGGATCCAGCTACACCCTGGAAAAGGAAGCAGGTTTCAAGTTTCTAGCAGCAGTCCCCCAAACAAGGTAATATATACATAGTGAAATTGAGTGTCATAATAATGAATTTACACAGAGCTTTATATCATCTCATTTTGTCCCTAAAATAACTAGGTCAGATAAATCTAAATGATTACATCAGGTCACACAGTTTGGAGTGGTAGTGACCAGAACCAGGTATTCTAATTCATAGGAATTAGAATTACAAATTCTTTTTTTTTTTTAAAGATTTTTTTATTTATTTATTCATGAGAGACAGAGAGAGAGAGAGAGGCAGAGGGAGAAGCAGGCTCCCAAGGAGCAGGGAGCCTGATGCGGGACTCGATCCCAGGACCCTGAGATCATGACCTGAGCCGAAGGCAGATGCTTAACCATCTGAGCCACCCAGGCGCCCAGAATTACAAATTCTAATAATTCTCAAGCCAGCCTACAAATCAGAATTGCCTGAGAGCTTTTTAAAAACTTACGATTTTTGCCCCAGCTTTACTTAACCAAAATCTAGGGAGAATAACCTAGTAATCTCTATTTTTAAGAAGTATCACAATGATTCTAGCACAACCAACAAAGCATTTGAAAACCATTGCGCCTGGATGACAATGATTTGCTGCAATCATTCCCCCAACATCAGGCTATTCAAGGCATAAGAAGTTGAAAAGCTATACATGACCAAAGAGCTAGAGATTGAGGTCTATGATTGCTAAATAAGAATGACATAAAAAAAGGGGGGGGGGTTAAGATGGTCATTTCCAGTCACTAATGATGAAGGAAACAGTAACTAGCAGCTTTCTGTCCCTGGTGAGGTGAGGTTTTAAACAAAGAAATTATACTATCCTGAGAAGAATAAAGAATGTAGTGACTTTGAGGTTGTCAAAGTAAGAAAAAAAAAAAAATAGTATGACAATGCCTTGTAACTGGTAACCCAGAGCCCTGATCAATGCATCTCTGTGGGGCACCACTGCAATTGAGGTTCACAATACAAGGTAGGCTGTATCCTGACACCCTAACTTTATCAAGGGAGCATCCCAACTAGGACCTCCAAACACTGTAGATAATACTCATTTCTACGACGTGCTCTCTCCTTGTGCCCCATGGGAACTTCGGCTGTAACTACTGCTCCTTTTCACCTCACTGCTTCTTTTCTAAGCTTTCCCAGATTCCATTTAGATCCCTAGTACATTTCACACCTCAAGGAGGCAAGATATATTCAAATACTTAAAATAGTAGCTTCACAGAGCCTGATTTTCTATATAGCAAATGCTAATTTTAAGTAAAGTTATCTAAATAACTTCATAGAAATTGTCATCTAAATTTCTTGACTAATTCTGGTAAAGGTACATTTTTTTTTCCTCTTAAACCCTCTTAAACCCTTTTTTTCTCTTACCTCTTTATTTAAGTTGGTTTAAATGAAGGAATGATCTCACTGTTGCCCCTTATTTCTTTTTTTCCATGTTCCTTGTTCTTTTTAAAGTATATGTATTTCCTATCACATTCAGTATCAAAGCAAGTCTCCAGTGAAATGTGTTCTGAACTCGTCTTTCTTGTTTTTCAGGCATAAAATTGTGCACTTCCATCTAGCTCTGCAGCCTTTCACCCACTTGGTTTCTCTTCCCGTGTCTCCTCCGAACTCGCTCGCTATTTGCCATTTTACATCTCTTAATATTAGTGTATATGGGGAAGTAAGAGTGTCAAGCATATAACTCTTGGCCCTGGTTTTTGACCTTTAAGACTGAGAAACCTTTTAAAATCCTTCCTGTTCCTTCTACAAACCCTAAGTTGACAACTTTCTGCCTAGAATTATCAATCCTGTGTATATTATCTAAATAATTTCATAAAGAAAGAACTGAAAACAATTTATCAGTGCTTGAGTTTCTGACCCTTAACTTCCATCTGATTTTCTTTATAATCTATACCCCATTTGGAAATATAAATATGAGAAATATGATGTCAAATATCAGACTAACAAGAAAAATCCATACCATCTGTTGTCATTTTTCCCAGACTTACCAAAGCCAGGAGGACCTGCCTCCCGATGTGATATACTTGTTTTTCTGTGAGATCATAGAGAAGGCCATCCATGGTCATCACATCCTAAAGAGCCAAAGAAAAAACATGATATCAAAATGACATGAACAGATCTAAAAAATAAAATAGGGGCAGAGATATTCTTAAATGCAGATATCAAGGCAAAGATACAAAAACATAGGGATGAAGATTCAAGGAGAGGCTAATATGAGAGATTCTCAGATATACAAAAAAGTACAATGATAGATTGACCTAAAAAAAACAATAAAGAATGTAGATAAATAACAGAATGAAGGAAGAACAGAATAGCAGGTAGGAAAGACAGATATCATAAGACTATCCCCTGGATAAAGCAACAATTTTCCTGGGGCACTATGTGTGTGTGATTAATTAAGCACATTAACTCAACACATTATTGAATGACTACTATGTGCCAGGTTCCATCTTAGGAACTCAGAACACAAGAGTGAGCAAAATAAACATGTCTGCTGCCTTCTGGAACTTAAAGTGTGACATCAGAATCAAATAATCATACATAAATATATGGTTACATATCTATAAGCTCCATGAAGGAGATGAAAAAGAGAGCATATGATGGTGACAAAAAAAGATCTGAAGGATGGGTGGACAATGACTATGCAAAAAAAAAGGAAAGGGAGAAGTTTGGTGTAATGAGAGAAGCATGTGTAAATGGTCTAAAATAGAGAAGCATAATCATTTTAAAAAATAGAATAGCGAAGTTAGAGCAGAGAACAAGTTACAGATGAATAAATAACCTCTTACAAAGGCTTAAATGCCTAAAGACTTGCGCATTGTCCCATTTGCACCACTGGATGTAAGGCATTAACAGGGTCCCTTTATCATACACATTTAGCGGTAAAGTAATCAGTCTTTTGAGGAGGCTTGATTAATATTGAACTTGTTCACTGGTAAGTGAGGAACTAACTAGGGAAACATGCAGTACTTCAGAAAGAGGAATATGTAGAGAAGCAGAAAAACTGCAAGCAAGAGGACTTGCACTTTAGCCTGGAAATTTCTACACATTTACATTTTTTTAAATATGAATTTGAAGTACAAAAACTTTCAAGCTGAATGTCTCCTCGTCAACCCTGGCATACTAGAGGGATGTTACGGAATAGAAGACACATTTAAGGCTAACAGCAATAAAATTACAGTCAATACTAACAATAGTTTTTACATGCATAATTTCTGTTAATTTTAATAATAACTTATTATTATTCCCATTGTACAGATGCTGAAAATTCAGGCTCAGAGGGATGACTTGCCCAAAGTCACACAGCTCGTAGGATATAAAGCCGAGAGTTCATGCCCTAAATCTGCACTGCCCACTATGATAGCCATTAGCCACATGTGGCTGTTGAGAAGTTTATTATTTAAAACTAAATAAAATTTTAAAAATTCCATTTCCCAGTCACATCAGCCACATTTCAAGTGCTCCATAGCCGCATGTGATTAGTGGCTACCATTTTGAACAGAGCAGATAGAGAATTTTTCTGCCATCATAAAAAGTTCTATGGGATGGTGATACTCAATCATTATTATGTTCCTATAATGTCTCTCTGCTTTGTCGTTTGCCAGGCTATTTGACATGTGACCAGCTAATGAGCCAGGTCAAGCCTTTCCTTCCTAATGCCTCTGCCCTGCTGCTCACCCGCCGACAGGTCCAGAGAAAGCTGAGCAGGTCCCCTTGGGCCACATCCTCCAGCAGCATATAGAGCGGCAGCTCCTCTGTGCAGCAGCCTTGCAGCTGCACCAGGTTCTCGTGCTTCCCCAGGTGCTGGTAGAACTGGATTCGCCCTAAGAAATCCTGCACCTCGTGGAGGCCAGCCGGTTCTGTGGAGGACAGATGAACCATGGGAAGCACTCAGAACATCACCAGTAAAATGGGAGCTATGAGGGAGGAAGCAACCTCAGATGGTAATTTTCAAGACTCCAAAGGAGAATAAGTATAGACAGAAAGTAAAGAGAAAGGGAACTAATTAGAAGATAATTCTCAAGGTCACTGATTTTTTTCTTGTCAAAACAAACAGAGAATCATAGGCCTTAGAACTGGATAGACTCTCATTTGCCTAAATAGACAAGTGCTCACATTCAAATATTATCACTGCCTAGGCCTTTTGATTAGTATTCGTGCTTATCCTATCCTTGTTCTGTTTTATGTATCTGCTACTACTGGTCCATATAAAGAGAAAAAAAGAAAAGAGGAAGGAAGGAAGGAAGGAAGGAAGGAAGGAAGGAAGGAAAGAAGGAAGGAAGGAAAGAAAGGAAAGAGGAAGAAAGAAAGAAGACAATATTAGGGAAAGTGATAGCGCAGACAAATGAAGGAACAACCTCAAAATCCACATGCACTAATATCCAGTGTGAAAAAATCAGTTCTAGCAACCTCAACAGGCAACACTGAGCTAGGGAAAAAGCCCAAGAAAAACATTTCTGTCTCAAGTTTTCACTTTCTATCCCCTTCTTACTCTGCTCACAATTGTGATCACAGCTATTTGTTGATTAACATCTTAATGTCTATAAGCTTGTTAGCATTCATGGCTGGGGGCTCACAATGGAAAAGTAAAACAGGGAAAGGGAACTCAAACACTTCTTTTACCTTTCAAAACCTTGAGGACAACACTCTTTGGCTTAGCAGGGTCCCCAGTACACATCTTGGTTCGATAGATGGCCCCACAACTACCACTGTGGATCTCCTCCAGAACTTCAGAGAGTTGCTCCCGGGGCACTTGCAGCTTAGCCAGAGCATGAGTGGTAGTTTGTAGGAGGCTTTCCACCGATGTCTCCTTCAGTGGCACAAACACACTTCCTCCATGTCCTCCTGCCTTCCAGCTTAGGCCCCTAGATGGAGGCACAGGGGCAATGCCTAGAACAAAGAGCTGATACCAATCATCTTTTCCCTACCCTAGGGACTCCAGGAAAGCAGAGCCTGGAACACACTGGCAAGGAAGTTCCTTTAGCAATTTTCTCTCTGCCCGATGTGGGGATACCTTCTGTGAACCAGCATCAATACCAACCTTGTAAAACATTTATAATAACCCTATTCCTTCTAAGACAACTCAAGATGGACCTCTGGAAAGTGGTAATGACATTTTCTTTCTATTTTTCTCAGGATTACAGTTCAGTATTAGTATGGAAACAATTAAGGAAGTTCCTGAATTGGTACTCAAACCACAGATACCTGAAACGTGGTGGTAACTACCAGTAGGGACTAATGCTTAAGTCAATCAAATGGCTTTTAAAGGTGGAGGGAAGGTATGGATAACTACTCAACTCTAAGCCGTGCCTATTCTTCCTCCCTTAAGATGTCCCCAAAGTCAAATTGCATATTTCCCAGAGTCTCAGTCAAAAAAATCTTCTGGTACTTTCCCCTTTTCTTAGTCAGTTTTTCTCCATTGGAAAAGAGAAATTCATTCTTCTCATTAAACCTCCATTCATTCATTAATCTATCAATTTATTTGGCAAATATCACATCCTGCATTCCAGGAACTGTTCTAGGTGTTGGGAATAGGCAAAGCCCAGATTCTTTTTTTTTTTTTTTAA